AAAAAAAAAAAAAGGCAATATTGTAAAATATTTTAAACATAATTGTTCTGATTCTGAAAATGACAATCTAAGTTTAAGTATTTTTTTTTTTTTTTTTTTTACACTTTAGCTGAAACTAAATTATTGTAGTATAAAGTTTGTAATGGTAATATAATAATAATTAGCAAATATAATAAGAACAAATAGGATTGCCACCTCAAAATTGTGGATGAATGATGTAAATATTTCAAAAAAATCCTCTGTATTCATTGAGCTTGGATCTTCACCGAAGTAGCTGATTGTGGCAGAGAATTCAGCCATTGTGTCCTGATGGAGTTGTTTAATGCTTTCTATACAGTGAGTAGCATCAACAAGAAATTTCTTCAGAGTTAAGGATTCAACTACATTAATTATATGGTAGCATTTAAAATATTATATATCAAAACATAAACACATTTCATGAATAGAATCAACTTAAAAAAAAAAGAAAACAAAGGGAAATGTGATGATGTGACACAAGGTAAATTGGTAGGAAATGTTAAGCTGAAGTTATGGGCCTTGCCATTATCTGCCATGAAAAAACAATCGATCACAAGTAGTACTGCCAAGTACAGATAAGGTTGAGAAGTGGGTTTAACTGGAGTCCTTTGACTCAGATTGGGTCCAAGAGTTGCTTTAACTTTAACTGGAGTCGGTGACTCAGATGGGATCTGAGAGTGGGTTTAACTGGAGTCCTTTGACTCAGATTGGGTCCAAGAGTTGCTTTAACTTCAACTGAAGTCGGTGACTCAGATGGGATCTGAGAGTGGGTTTAACTGGAGTCCTTTGACTCAGATTGGGTCCAAGAGTGGGTTTAAATGGAGTCAGTGACTCGGATGGGATCTAAGAGACAAAAGAGTGTCAGAAAAAGACAAGGAACTGAGGGAAACAATAAAGTCAAATATACTAATGTAGTCACAAGTATTGAGGGTTTAAAGTTCAAACTTTTTTTTAATAAAAGGAAAGCACTTTATTATTTTTTTTATTAACTTTGTGCACCCACCTCAACACACAAAAATCTCACTTTGTTCTAATGGACTGATTGAAGGTAATCAGATATGGTAATCAGTGGCATATCAAGAGTTTGAGATGCTCTGGACTGTCCTCAACTTCACCAGCCCACCTTTCCCGTAAAACAGACAGATGTACATATTTAGTATTGAGGGTTGGGGGAGGTGGGGTAGTGTAAAAGTCTGGGAGACAATTATTCTGGAAAGTAAGTCAGAAATTATCGCATGTTTTGTAGGGGAAGGGTGAAGTTGGATAAGGATTTTTTTATTGAGAAGGGAGAAAGTAAGATATGGAGAAATGCTGTTTGGTTTGGAAGAAACAGGTCACTATAGCTGCTTCTGAGGTCTTGCAATATTTTCACCTGGTGTCTTTTATCATTCTACCATCCGAAAAAAGATTTCCCTTTTCAAAGCAAAAATGCCACCCCCTAAAAAAGTTCCCCCCACCCCCCTCCAAAACTAGTGATGGAAATCTTAGGGTCCACAGATTGGGGGGGGGGGGGGGATTTATCTGCCCCAGGTGCTGGCGACCACACTAAACCACATCACATAATACTCAATTGTCTCTAACTTAACTTTAACAGCATTTAACATAAAAAGCCACCCCCTAAAAAAATTCCCCCCCCCCCCCCCCAAAACCAGGGAGGGGAATCTTTGGGGCCCCAGATTGGGGGGGGGGGGGGGTGATTTATCTGCTCCAGGTGCTGGCGACCACACTAAACCACATCACATAATACTCAATTGTCTCTAACTTAACTTTAACAGCATTTAACATGAGCAAGAACTGCTCACGTCCTCACGTGATATGATTTTATTTTCTATTTTTTAAATAATATTTTCTATGGTATCTTTTATTGTTAAACCTTGAAAGTTACAAAGCTGCAGTCCAATATGCCTGTGCTTGTCAACATTTGTGAATTAGGAAATGTCCAGGCAAATGCTCCTGATGCCGTGATAAGGATACACCAAAGACTTCTCTGAAGTGATCTTCTGATTCTTCAATTGCTTCAACTGACATGTTTTTCAGGAATTCTGTAGTGTCCTAGAGAAATATAAAATAGCTCACGTCATTTCCACATGAACGTGCTTGAAAAAATTGCCACATTTTAAGCCACTTGCCATTTTCATTAATGTAAGGTTTGTGTTGAAGTAGAAAATGAATACCTTCTGTCGAAATGTAACTCTTGATGTCCTGTGGTCATCCACTCTTCTAATCCAGACGCTGAACCTTGGGACATCCTAGTACCACACATGACAGTATAACCGACAACAAACACTGGATATATCGATGTGAGTTCAATGTATAATTTAATATGCCTTGTAAGCCTGACAAATCAGTGTACTTCACAATACAACTTGTAAACTTTTCAATGTTCAACTTCAAGATCTATCTAGCTGAATCCTCACACATAAAAAAGCCATGCCTTGAACATCTCACAACAAGCCATGTCTTAAACAGTACGCAACCGCCATCTCTGTCCTCTCTCAACAACAACTAAAACTAATGCGTCACTTCCCCTTAAACAATTACGTCACAACACTCACACAAACGATACAGCTACACATAAAATCTCTAACTAAACATCTTTTCCCTATCAAACATGAAAACAATCATCTACACATAACAACAGTGATTCTCATACCCTTGAAACCTTCCATATATTTTAAACTATGGTACTAGGTAGCAGCGGACCCAGTAGGGGCATGAGATAAATTTACCGCTACACTACATTACATGTTGACAATGAGCTGTGAATCTCAAATGTACACAAAATCCTTTTAAAGTTTAAGCAGTTAAATCTGTAGTTTTACAAACTTAATAAAATTGTTTAATTGTTTTATTTAAACTTTTGTAAATAGTAAACTTCTCTTAATTTTTTTAAAAGATGAAAGAAATTAATTGATGGTACGGTTTATAGTTTATCATATTGATATTTTCTGGCTTTACAAGATATTAGTGATTTGAAGCTTTCAACAACAACAAAAAAAAAAAATTACCTTACCTTTAGAGATTTCCCCAATTCTTGGATATCTTGAACTAATACATCAATGGAAACTG